ATGCCAGAAGTACACAGTGGGTACCAAAGTTTTACAGTAACAGAGCAAAATGACTTTCGTGATACTTGTCGCAGGTGTCTGACAAGGTGTTTTTATCTAAAGTCATGTTCATCTTCAAATCAAAATATGCGAGTCCTAGATAAGCCCTCAGAGAGGTCTGATAAATATTGGCCATCGTGCTTCTATTCTGGAATCTTCCCCTGTTGTTTGAGCGGGTACAGATCCGGGGCAACATCAGATCCATTATCAGAGCAGGTGCTCAGCTAGCACCCAGTAGTGGTGGGGAGATAGATGGCTAGCCCTGGTCTCAGATGCAGTGTAATCCTAGGCTGGCAGGTAAATATAGACTGTGGCTGCTTTGGGCTGCGTGCTGCTTTGCTCTGCTCGACCTTGGCTGCCCCTGCCCTCCCTCTCCTCAAAGGGGATGTAGACACCAGATCACAAATTTACACTACTCATTACTGTTGCCTTACCAAAAAAAACAAAACAAACAAACAAACAAACAAAAATTAGGATTTAAAGGGAAACTATTGCTGCTGAAAAGCAAGTCATTTCATAGAAACAACCCATCTACAGTATGTGGCCAAAAGGTGCGATTACTTGGGGGATAAAATACTCCCTGTGCTCTCTGTTACTGCGCTCACCATTCCAGACAGGATTTTAAACTTTGTGAAATTACAAGATATGGTCTGTAATAGACAAGGACATTCATCAGGACAAAGGAGCAGAAGGGAAGACAAAAAGTTGCAAAAGGTGCGTTTCAGTCAAAAATTGGAATCCTTCTTGGAGCCTTAATTCTTAACAGAAAGACATGAAACACATATTGATATCGTGTGAGTTACATTTCCCAAGGATATCTTTACATGTCTAAAGTGAATCAACCTCCATAAAAAAATTATGGAAAACAGATGCTACAATTTTCTTCAGTATCAAAGTAATCCACTGGGTGTCTGTATATCTATGATATATGGAAGGCTAATAGCTAATTCAGCATACTTTTATTTATGCCTGTTCATCACATTAGCAAATACATTTTGACTCACACACAAATTAAAGACCAAGTTGATTAAAAAGCAAATGTATAAAACAAGCAGCTCTTCAAAAGGTTAAGAAAAAGGACTCAGAGTTTTCACTTTAAAATACAAAGCTGTTGCTCTGGATAGGATTTAAATACAGGAGTCAAAAGTGGGCAATGAGGCAAAAAAGGAGACTCACAAAAAAGAGTTTTGTCTAATTAGAGTTGAATAGCCATAAGGTTACATAAAAGTGAAATGAGATACCCTGAAGCCCTGCTATTTCACTCACACATGGCAAACTGTACAGTGTGTGCACATTTGCACACATATTGCTCCTTTGAAAACACGAACAAGTACACACACATACACACAAAGCACACACACTCTCCATTAGCAGATCTTTGGATCCATTGTATTAAGTGCAGGCCTGGAGGAAACAGGACAACGTACAGACCCAGGGAGCCTCATGCTCAGCTACTATAGTAAGAGGTTTCATGTCCCAGATTAGTCTCTTCTTGGTTATAGAGAACTGAAAGTGAACCCAAACAATCATTAGTGCAATTTAGAGATGACCAAGCATTCCATGTACTTCGTCATTCACATTATTACGTAGTCCAAGTACATGCTTGTTTCCAACTTCTTTATTGCTGAGATACACTTGCCGCTGCAATTTTTTGCTTGGAAATTATATATTTTAATTGATGATTTCTATTTATAATAGAGTTGTCCCAAGGTTAACGTAAGAATCAATACTGGGCTGCTCCAGGCGCATGATATTTGAATGGATTCGTATGGGCTAAAATAAAGCAGATCAAAATCTAATTCTTTCTTTACAGTACTCAACCATGGCTGCTTGCTGAGCTAGTGAAGCTCTGAAGTGCATGTATCTCACTATGTACGTGATAACATTTGTTTGTTTGTGTTTGTCAATGTGAAAAGTTATTTAGTGGTACCAGGGAGTAACTCTGAGTACTGAGGTTGGCAAAACGCACAATCTTCCTAAGCTCTGATGCTAATTATGTTAAGCAAAGACCAATGTAAAAAAACCAAATCAGGTAGCAACCTTTTGTCGTGCACAGTATACTAACCATCACTTTCATCATTTAAACTGGGGTGCCTTTAATTACTGTTAATTCCATGAGTAACTTGAAAACAGGTCAAAATTCAACCTATCTGTTTTCTGGTTAAAGTACTCTCTGCAAGCCCGTCTGTGTCTGGCCAGAGACCATTTGTGAGGAAGAAGCTGTTACACCACTGTGTGACTGTAGCTCTACCAACTCCAAAAGAGCGATACATCTTTTGTCTAGCTGACTGTATCACGTCACATTCTGTAGCTAAACCATCATTCATGTTGTGTCAATAATTTAAGATTAATCACCTTATCAGTTTCGAACCAGGACCCTCAGTGTTTGCATCAAGTGGCCTGTGAAAAATAAGATGTGCGTAAGTAGTCGAAAGCTGTTATTCCAGGCTGTCAGATACTGTACTTTAATCAACACTTAGGTAAATGTATGGAAACAAACTTGGTATCAGCACAGACCCAGTGTTACAGGACTCAAACTGTGACTGGGGCAAAAAAATGGCCTCAGCATTATGATTTTTATTTTTTTTTTTATACAGTAAGTGACAAAAGACAGGAATGATGAGGAGAAGAAGTAGCTGACAGAGGTCACAGATCTCCTGTAAGACTTTGGCACAAACCTTAGCCAGTAGAGCCAAGAGAATGCCCCTGCACTTTATTTGCAGATTCCCTAACTACATTACTGTCTAGTCCATCCAGATATATGATAGGATCTCTGCTGGCACTGTAGTGGATGACCTTTGTGCAAGGGGAGGAGGAGGGAAGAGAGATGCCATGCTGTCGACTTTGGTTTACATTGAATGGAGCTAATTAACAGAAGATGAAGACCTGTCTGCTTCCTCTTGCCACCCCCCCACCCCATGTCTGTATCTCACTCCTTCTGCTTTACATCTCAGAATATATCTAGGGTATAACAGCAATAACTTTTTATGATTCTCTTGGGCTTGCAGTGACCATGAGAATGAATGTGACAAAGCATAAGTATAGATTAGCATATTAGAGATACATAACAAGCCAATGTAGGATTTGATATCATGCCAAACATACACAGTATCATGTGACTGTATCCTGCTGTGCCCCAGCTACCAGTATCATAACCAGTGTGTTCATTCCTTGGTCATATCTCAGCTCAGCATGTTTAACAATGTTCAAATCCTTAATAATATGTTTTACTGCTAATCACAACTGCAATTCAAACTTGAGGCAAACTTCTTTTTCTTGCTAAATCAAACTTAATTAACCTTGTTACATAACAACTATGGCAGAATGACAAGATCAATTCATGCTATGCAGGCTGTACAAAGGTGCCCCTGAGACAATCCAGCATATAACAGCAGGGTGCAAGATGCTAGCAGGTAGGGCATACATGGAACGCCATAACCAAGTGGCTGGCATAGTGTACAGAAACATCTGTGCCGAGTACAGGCTGGAAGTCCCAAAGTCAAAATGGGATACACCTCCAAAGGTGGTTGACCAAGCTAAGATCCTGTGGGACGTCAAGATACAAACTGACAAACTGGTAATGGCCAACCAACCGGACATAGTAGTGGTGGACAAACAGAAGAAGAAGGC